TACAAGCCGTGTTTTGAGAGCAGTCCCGATTTGCTGTCACACCAATTTGTGACCCCAGTGTGGCACAGAATATTTTTTTCCTCATAGTCACACTATCATATTTTAGGGTACAGATATGATGATATGGATAAGTATTAACTGAACCTCATTGCTAATCGTCGGTATCCATCAATAGATACTTAGTTTTTTTTTTGCAATTACAATATAATGATAAAAGTTGTAAAGGCTGTTTGATGTTAGAACACAATCTATTTTTCCTCAATTATTTTCTGATTCTAGAGCTCTATTAATATTTGGGAAACCATATTGACATTGTTTTTGATACTGCTTCTAAAAAGTAAAGCCAATGTTACCTTTTAGAAGCAGTATCAAAAAGAGTGTATAGTTTGTATTACAACTCAGTTTTAAATGCAAATTTTGTTAACTAGTCATTATTAAACGAAAAATCAAGTTAAAGCACATAAATAACACTGTTTGTTTGCTTGGTTAGCTTGTACCAAAATAAGTTTGTAATATTACTATGAGGATAATAGTGCTGGTTGCGTAATAGTATAAGTTTATTTAATGTTCAGCAGTTGTATTTGCAACATTGCGCAATTGTTTGTTATCCCAAATAAAATAAAATAAAATAAAATCAAGTGGCAGTGGGCGGGGCACATAGCTCGTAGAGCTGATGGCCGCTGGGGCAGGAAAGTTCTTGAGTGGCGACCACGAGCTGGAAGACGTAGCGTGGGCAGGCCTCCCACTAGGTGGACCGACGATCTGGTGAGGGTCCCGGGAAGTGCCTGGATGCGAGCGGCGCAGGACCGGTCTTTCGGCTGAAACGAACGAACCAAACGGAAAATCATAACTCAAGCTGTTAAAACCCCATCGCCCGTGAGTAGCCTAAGCTGGCATCCGTGATGATCCCATTGTACAAGTCGTATTTTCGCTTCTATTACCTGTAGTAATCAGTTAGGGCACAATGGTTCTTTGACACGATTGAATAGCGGACAGATTTCCGAAGATAAATGTACTCGTCCGTTACCGTTCATTGTGGCTTTGAGTGGCCATTTCAAAAATGGCTCGGAGGTAAGGTCATAGTGTAAATTGAAGTAGTATTATAAATATCAAGCGTAGCTTGGTGCAGAGTTCTTTAAACCTTGTTAACGTATATTTCATACTTCAAAAACTAGTTCTAGTTACTTCTCCTTGTTGAGATATAGTAATCGAAACTTTTAAACAGTATTGAGCATTTTCAGTACGCATCAAACAAATTGAAATGCGCGTGTCTATGCCCAGATGTATAAAGGAGGTGATTTTTGGCCAAATGTTTCCTTTGCAAAATTATTAGAGTGGGTCGTGTTTCTGTAGACGAGGCTAAATTTTGATGATGATGATATACATGTACCGTACATACATACCGTATGTAAACCACTACTTACCTGCCTACTTGCATTGAAATACGTTAATACATAATTTGAACGTGTCTGCATTTTCTCGTTACTTTACTACTTTTTCTTCGCTGTGTCAAAAACTGGCATTAAACTGATTCGTGGGCGGAGTAAAGGTGTGTTTCGAATGGTGCACTTTTGTGAAGTTTACGTCCCATAATTAGAGCTATTCCTAATGTTGATTGCGTGACTGAAGCGATTCTGACTAAGCTGTTATTGATTGATGAAAATAAGAATTAATATGTTATCCTAATATTTTGGATTGGATACTCAAAATAAATTAACTTGTTGTTATCAACTAAACAGTTATATAGTTTGTTTCCTTGTCTAATTTTTGTGTAAAGGACTATGCGTGGTGGCGGGTTCGAATGCCGCAGGTGGCACATTTTTGAGTTGAATTTGGACAACTAATAGAGTCGTTTAACTAGAGGTTAGACTCGAGCGCGATCAAACTAACGTAAAGGAATACCCTTTCCGGTTTCTTAACGTACGCTACGCTATGAGCAAAAGTTGTAACGAATTATAAGCCTTTATCAAAATAATGCAAACTGTACAAGTGTACACAGATATAGCCTTAAATAATATTTTATTCTACTCTACATATTTAAATTAGCATTGTGTTGTCACATTATACATACATATAGGAGAAACCTTACTTTGGTGTACCTACGAGTCAAATGAAAGTTCTTAATGAAATGGGTATCCACCTTTGGTCGTCAATTAAAGATGCTATGCCCAAACACCATCAATCAGCACGGCGTTACTGGGGACAATAACAAATAACCTGCACTTCGCCAAGACTGATGGCCAAGGGGCACCCAGGGGGCAGGGTATGAATGAATAGCCAAGACGTAGGCTATTAACTCATTGACATACCGCTGACTGAAGGTCAGCAGGGTAGCAATCAATCACGCAATACACCTTAATGGGTATGGATGAGGTGATTAATTCTACGTTGATGTCTACTATGCTAGGCAATCCAATTTGAATTTAATTAATGACCACGTAAAGTGCCTTTTTAATTTATTAACGTAATAAGCATGCCCACTGGCTTCAAAGTTAGCTGCAGCAAGCTGCAGCGCTTTCAACGGTCACAACAAGTTATCACCTATTACACACTACAAAAATGTACTCTGAGTCTGGGCAGATCAAACTTCACACATTTTTTACAGAATCAGTAAAGGAAACTTTGGATTCAAAGTTCTTTAAAATCTGCCAAGTGATAATAAAACTACAGTCAAACAAAAAAATAATCTGCATGTTTTACTTTCTTCATGTTCACAATCATATTTTACTATGGCACACTCCGCCGCTCATACAAACCTGCATCGCGGTGACGAAGTTTTAGATCCTGCCAAAAGTATATATAGACAAACCAAGATGGTGTAAATTGGACCTTGGTCCCCGAGCACAACACCCGCTCGGAAGGAAGCACTAACATCTAGCTTCCTTATTGTGGTTGAGCATCATATCCCACATTGGTGACCCCGACGTGATTGGAACGTGACCTTCCATCACCACCATCTTCGGCATCAGCCTCCGCCATCCTCACCATCTCCGCCACTCCGTCATCAGCTCCAGTCTTCAACAAGCCAGCATCCAGCCTTCAGGGACCATCGCAGATCGCAACCGACCTTCCTGGTTCCTCGGCAGCAAGCAACCGTCACTTCATCACTGGGCACGGGTACAGCTCTGGCCCAGCTCCACGCCCGACCATCGAAGACGCCTCCGCTCACTATCCCGACTCACCGTGGATAGAGCACCGCAACCTGCTCGTCTCGACACAAAAAATGCCAACAAATAATAAAAAATGATACTTTTTGAAAAAAATCTGCTTAAAAATTCGTGTTTTTTTGGTTATTTGATAAATTTCTCCAAAAAATGCCCCTATAACCGGTGGTTTTTATTACTTTGTATTATTCTCTATCGTATTACCTTCGTAAAACCAAAAATCGCATGTCTCTATCCCTATCACAACATTTGCTATGATCGTTTGAACTAAGCCTCTCCGGGCGCGCCATTCAACGCTTCGTTGACAAAGAAACTGAAAATGGCTCTAGATTTGTAATTTTCATAAAGACAAGTTAGATTTGAAATAAAACAAAAGATTTCGAAGAAAAATAAGCATTTTAGTTAAAATTAAAATTGTCTCTACCTGTAGCGGATAATAATGTTGTGGCAGGCCTTTGTTCAAACGATCATAGCAAATGTTGTGATAGGAATAGAGACATGCGATTTTTGGTTTTACGAAGGTAATACGATAGAGAATAATACAAAATAATAAAAACCACCAGTTATAGGGGCATTTTTTGGATAAATTTATCAAATAACCAAAAAAACACGAATTTTTGAGCAGATTTTTTTCAAAAAGTATCATTTTTTATTATTTCTTGGCATTTTTTGTGTATTTTATGTATTTTTTTAGTATCGCCTGTTATTTGGCATTATTACTGTTTTTATTTTATCAGGATATACCGCTTAGTTTAAAAGTTATTACGTTTTCTTTACAATAAGTAATTGGAAGAAAAAAAAATCGATAAAATTTAAAAAAAAAATCTCAAAAATTTTTTGACCTCTTTTTTGTCGATAAAAATAGGTCTAGTTTCATCTATTTTCATATGTACACTTTAACGTGACTCACACTGTATACATAGAAAAAAAAACCAACCGAATTGGGAACTTCCTCCTTTTGTTGAAGTCGGTTAAAAAGGACTGAAATAGAGTTTCACAACGAACTACACCCTGTTTTGTTCCAATGAGCATTTTCAGTCTTTGAACGCAACATGGGCAGGAAACATACCTAGTACGCAGAACTGACGGCCGATGGGGCAGCAAGGTTCTGGAATGGAGGCCGCGGGGAAAACGCAGCGTGGGACGTCCACCCACAAGGTGGACCGACGACATCATAAAGGTAGCAGGGAAGCGCTGAACGCAGGCCGCTACCAATCGATCAACATGGAAAGCATTGGGGGAGACCTATGTTCAGCAGTCGACGTCCTATGGCTGAAATGATGATGATGATGAACGCAAAATTTACGAGTTATACCTTTAGCTACTGTAGGCTGAGTTCACCCACCGTAAACAGTTTGCAAGCACACATTGTTGTATCAGCTAACTATTCCGGCAAGTTTCCATTCTGCTAACCACTTTAAGATGCTAACTTCGTTTTCTTATTCCAAAGCTAAGAAAATATCGCTAAGCCGCGCGCTATTTTTGTTAGCCTGGCTGCAACTGCATTAATCGAGGTTATATAGGGTGTACAAAACGGAGTATATGTAGGTAAATATGCAGTACGTAATTTAGATGCAAAATATTTTTTTTAGTAGTCTATAGTAGTCTTTTAGCTGTTGAACGTATCTTCAAAACAATAACTAAGCTACCAAGTAGATAAACTGTTTCTTTGGAAATTTGTTACTTGCACCATTCTAAAAGGTACCTAAGTATAAATTAATTGTAATGAAAAGAAACGGGGGCCAAACAAAATCTCACTTCAAACATAAAAACACTCCATAAAAATATCCAAGTGCAAGTTTTATTCAACCAAACATCACAAATAAAACAAAATTACTAACAAGCATCCTTCTTGCTCTTATTAATTTTGCGTTTAATCCTCTCAGTGTACGCAGCCACAATATTTGACAGAAGCGGCAGTGATGATGACTTCTCATCATCTCTCACACCAACCTCCGCACAGAGATCCGCCCTTGTTCTTTTATCCTTCGCCATAGCTGCCTCTGATGTCATCACTGATGCTGTATACAAGTACCCGTTCCATTCAAGGTATTCCCGCACCAGTTCGTTCACTAGAAGGACTTCGTCAGTTGGAGCGGGTATCAGGGTTTTCCTTTCTCCGGCATTTATCGAGAATTGCCTTTCTTGGAGTACTTCAGTCACTTTGGCACGCATCTGAAACGGATTAGAATCGCATCACCAAAAAGATTAAATTGATTTTCATAGGGATAGGCAGTTCGTTGGTCGACTCTGATTGAGGTTAGGGTGTATCATGATAGACTATGCAAGAATATTCCAAATATTCAGATCTACCTACCCTCGGAAATGATACAGTCGAATACCCCACCGTGTACCTCGTCAGCGCAACCACGATCACTTTGTCAAGAGTGTCCGATTATCAAGAGTCTCCAGATCAAAAACACCTATTTTTTGTCAAAACCAGTATGGCATTGATAGGGAATGTATTCAGAGCATGTTCAGAGCATGTCATAAGTATGGCATTGAACTCTGAGAAAGTTTTGAAACAATTCCACTCAAATTCACGCACATATTTCATGTAGGTATTCAGTTCCATCTTCGTTCCATCATGATTATTATTTTCCAATACCATTTGGCTTAACCTCAATTACCTACACACAGTACAACTGGTACAACGAACAAAATGTTAATTACCTCAGCCTGTAATTTATTCAAATGGCCACTTTTCTTGAGCAGATCTTTTATGGCTACCAGGAGCTCTTGCTCAGAATTTACTCTGTTTTCGTTCATTATAATTATGGGAATAATAATATTACTTTTATTGTTTTGAGCTTACAGCCGGGGGTAGTGAAGTGGGAATGTCGATGATCTCAAAAGTTTGTCTCATAGATTTTTTTCATGTAGGTAACTAATTTAGTAAGTTTCTTTTTCGATATAGCCGGAGAAAAATAAAATATTTTAAAAATAAAAGAATATTGGTCTTTTTACTTAAAGCTTTGCTATAGAATTAACATTTTACTTTTTGTTACCACCTAAAGCTATAGTTATTATTGTATCACAAATGTAATCAAAAAGTATAGACTCCTTAAAAGTCAATTAATTTAACCATCAACAGATTTTGTAGATAACACAATTAAATAAATGAATGCTACGGTGACGACACCCTTTTGTATATTAATGAACTATGAAACAACTACTGGTGGTGTTAGCTGTCAAGGAACATATAAAATAACAAAGACCAATTAATAATTCAGAGGAATCGACGTAAAACCGGGTGTACCTATAGCAATAAATAATCAATGATACGCCCAGAAAACTGAGTTTGTTGTAGCCTTTTTATTATTTTTATGTTTCGAAGCGGTACTAAAATATAACTTAAAAACAACTATTCTTTGAGTATTGTTGGCTCTACAGTGGCAAAAGGTGAATTTTGATGCTGACATTGTATTGGCAAGGTAAATAAATTGGGATCACTGAGACTTGTAATGTCATTAAAATTTTGAAGCCACACGGTAACAGGACATAATTATCAATAAATATTATTTATTGATGTTACTCATGAAAATAGTTTAACATTACCAGTCGCTTCATCTCAGGTACCTAACACAAGGCGCGGTAATGACAAAAGGGAAATTAAAAACATTTAAAAACAAAAATTATGTCATAATTTTTAATTTCATCATTTTATCGATATTGTTACATGCATCACTAGTGCGTCACATTAATGTCAGTATTATATTACAGCGCGCGTCAAATGGTCCTAATTGCCAGTGTTTGCTTTGATGTTTGTCATCGACTCTTTTGTAAATAAACTGTAAACCTTTGTGGTAAAATAACAGTAACGTTACCTTTTCTATTACAATAACGAGCTATAACATTTTTTTAGGTTTTACTAACCTGAAAATACTGTAGACCCTTGATTTACAGAACGACTTTAGAAAAACTGTTTAATGGTTTGATGGGACGGTTCAGTGTAGTTCATCTATCTGGGGGCACGGCAGTGCCCCCACCAAGTCGAGCTAAAAAGCGGCACGGCCGTACCATCCTTTTCTCGAAGCAATTCAGGCCATTTTCGACCGCCTGTAACTTCGTTGTGGATAAAACTAGAAGGCTAAATTTTCATTAGCTATGCAGGCATTGTAAAGACACGGTATATTTCAAATTTCATTCAATTTGAACCAGTAGTTTAAGAATTATAACGGGTCAAAGTTTCTTAATTTTGTCACTCACTGACTGACTGACTGACTCACCGATCATCAAAATTCTAAGGCACTTCTAGCAGACCTAGAAGCTTCAAATTTGGAATATAAACTAGTGTTTGGTGTATGAATCAAGGAAAAACTAAAATATTTGGGGGCACGGTAGTGCAACCGCTAAGTCTAGCAAAATTTTTCAATTTCGGTCCAGTTTTATAAATATTTAACTACTTACTTAAATAACTTTGTAATACCATATAAATATAAAGGCGCACGGTAGTGTCCCCGCCAAGTCGAGTAAAATTTTTCAATTTTGGTCCAGTTTTCTAGATACATAACTGCTGTCTACAAAATACAAAAAGAAATGAGATCCCATCAAAAACAATACTTGTCAAAAAAACCAAGTCTCGCAACTCAGTTGTTCTACGGTAAAAAGTTGTGAGATCCATGTAATACCAAGTCCAGGCCAGGAAATCTTTAACGTTTTACATAAATATATTGACTTGGCCATCGCATGAAAACACGTGTAGACAAATTAAATTATTTAGTGCGATGGCCAAGTCAATAATTTATGTAAAACGTTAAAGATTTCCTGGCCTGGACTTGGTATTACATGGATCTCACAACTTTTTACCGTAGAACAACTGAGTTGCGAGACTTGGTTTTTTTGACAAGATAAGTATTGTTTTTGATGGGATCTATACCTACCTGTCCTGTGAGCTGAGTGTATGTATTACCTATTAAACGCCTATTTTTTCATTCATTCATTTCAGCCACAGGACGTCCACTGCTGAACATAGGCCTCCCCCAATGCTTTCCACGTTGATCGATTGGTAGCGGCCTGCGTCCCATGAAACCAGGTATATTTCCTTCTGCCCATATAACAGTAACATTTGCCTCTAATGAGATTTAAAACCGCAAATTGATGGTGTCTTAGTGCGGTACTCAATAATTAAACCACAGTGAACATCCTATAACTGATTAAGCAAAATCCGAGCGGATCTGCAAGAAAATTACTCGTTTATTAAGTAACACATTTACACGTAGATGTCAAACTATATATTTATCAACACAATCTTGGCTACACAGTTGCAGTAGCTGGAACTAGAGGTAGGAAAAGGTCCGTAGCTAATACAATAAATTTGAATAATGTGCGGGGATGTTCGACTCATTTCCCACAAGCTTTTTCCACGAAGAAATCATTGCTCTATTGCCATCATTATCTTAATCATCAGGTCATCTAGTCTCTTCTACAGGAGGACAACCTTTTATTATTTTACAGAGGCAAATGGAAGATTTGGCCCAAACTCCCCACGCGAGGCAGGTTGAGAATGCCTGATGTTCACATATTTTTTTACCCGACTGCGCCAGAAGGAGGGTTATGTTTTTCGAGTGTATGTATATATGTATGTTTCTTTGGCACTGCCTACAGCCTAAACGGCTTGACCGATTTTATCGTAAGTGGTGTTGTTAGATTCGTCTTAATCGTGAGAGTGACACTGGCTATATTAAAGTTGGAAAAAAAACAAAATGGCGGATTTTAGGCGCCATATTGTCTTAAAAAAAATTTTTCTTCCCCAAAACTTATCGAGTCCCACTCAAATCAAAATAAAGGGCTTTTTAAGTAGTTTACAAAAATGCACGTTATTTGTTCCCATAGTCTCTTACAAAACTACAGAAAGTGTGGGGTAGTTCTATTCTACTTTGGCAGAACCACACGACTAACTTTACCACGAAACTTACACAGATCGTCCTCTCATACGTTACCGATGCGCTACAAATATCAAGGTATAACTAGACGTGGGTGTACTAAGTGAGATTCAGTCGCAAAGTTACGTTCCCCAACTAAATGTTAATAACCGAACCCAAATTCGGGATCTGCTTTGTTCACTAACAAGCGTTGTTCTCAAGTTAAACACTGCATAAGTCGGGTATCAAACCCTAGTAATAGGTAACGTTGTTAGCCTTTCAAGTGTGTTCGAGTTTAATACCTAATTACAGTTCTAAAGCTATATAATACTTTAATATTTTAATTAATTATTCTCCCCAAACTGAAAACCGTTTCGTGCCGTTCTTATATTTATACTTCTTGTAATTGACTGTTTTTCCAAGGCGTCGATAGAGACTCTCATGCTTTTACATACACGCCATGTGATAACAAAACTTAGGTTTGGTCTTAGGACAATGACCTGTAAAAAAGTAAATAGTGTCAAGTAATTACATAGAGTAATTATCAAAAAGTACATTTACGTTACGTCGTTCAAAATGTAAGATGTAAATTATTTGAAAATACCTTGAGCCAAGATTAAGCAAGGATTTTTAAATTATTTGCTTATAACTAAGTATATTACAAGCTTTTAAGTATATGAGTAATATTTTTATCGAAGCGTCATCGTCGGTGGACATTACTTTGATATAGTGCCGACTTTACAATATTAATTTTAGGCTGTATTTCAGTTCAGCCAAAATGTACCACAATGTTTAATTTTTTTGTAAACAAGTCAATAACACAGACAATCGCGTATTGACTCGCGAAATCTTCTCAAAACAACGCATTAAAACGTTTTAGGGGCGGACGATTCTGTAAAATTATTGTTACTTTAAATTGACGCCGCTCGGGACCAATTTGATTTTGAAATATAGGCCGTAACTCGCAATTCGGATTCTATCGTTTCCCGCACGCGATGTGGTTTGTCTTTTGCGGAAATTGGTACCTACATAATTTAATGCAATATGGATACATAGAGTAGGGTTAATAACCTACTCTCCCTATTATGTTCAAACTGGAAATCTAGTTATAATTGGAAGTACCATTTCACACGACGCCTTAACTCGCTTCGTCCAAGTGAAAATCGTTTTCTACCAAGACCATAGATTCATGTCTGTAAAATTCATAATGGCGTGTCCACACATGCCGCCGGCTTATGCCGCCGGGTTTGCCGCCGGCTTTCAAAATGCTTTGCCGGTGTGCCGTCCTGGCCGCCGGGTTGGCCGCCGGCCGTACCGCCGGCCGTACCGCCCGGTATGTGTGGATGCGCCATAATAAATCATAAAACGCACGAAGATAGAGTACTGTCGAGTTTTCTGAAAATATCCGATTTAAAAAAGAATGGCGTGGCCAAGGGAAAGATGGGTTTATATTTATAAATATATGAGTAGACTATTAATTTATTTATATCAAAATTAATGTTATAGAATTGTAGATGATGTTAAGGTTATGGGCTTACTGAACCTATGCCTGGTATGGTTTAACCTTTAAACGCGGAATTGTATCACTTGAAGGTTGCCCATTTGTTAAAATAGGACTTAATTTTGGGAATTTGAAAAGAAAATAATCTTGAAACGTTGTCAGTCAGTTTGCCATAAACTCACCTACCCGTATAAACACTTTACATTTTCATGGAATTAAAATATAACTAAAATAGTAAAAACGCGGGTCTTAACGCGACGTTTATTAATGAGTTACATTATGTACTCACGGCTTGACGTTTCGGCTGCGATGCTGCAGCCTTGGTCACAAGCAGACTGGCTGGTATTAAAAAAATAATAGTCTTTCTTAATAATCACATCATGATATGGTGGAAAAATTTAACTGCGGCGGCAACTAGTTCAACACATTTATGGTTAGGGTCTAACA